GGAAATAAACTGAGGGTTGCTGGAGTGGGGGGTGGGGTGGGAGGGATGGGCTGACTGGGTGATAGACACTGGGGAGGGTATGTGCTCGGGTAAGTGCTGTGAATTGTGCAAGACTGTTGAATCTCAGATCTGTACCTCTGAAACAAATGATGCAATGTATGTTAAGAAAAAAAAAAAAGAAGATAGCAGGAGGGAAGAATGAAGGGGGGGAAATCGGAGGGGTAGACGAACCATGAGAGACGATGGACTCTGAAAAACAAACTGAGGGTTCTAGAGGGGAGGGGAGTGGGAGGATGCGTTAGCCTGGTGATGGGTATTGAGGAGGGCACGTTCTGCATGGAGCACTGGGTGTTATGCACAAACAATGAATCATGGAACACTACATCTAAAACTAATGATGTAATGTATGGGGATTAACATAACAATAAAAAATAAAAAAATAAAAAGGCAAAAGTACTCTATGTTGCTAGATATCAGGATGGGGTTAACCTTGGGGAGTGTGGGCCCTCAAACACTTCTGAGTGCTAGGAAGGTTCTGTTTCCTGGTTTGGATGCTGATTTTACAGGTATTTTCAGCTTGTGAAATTTCAGTGAGCTGCATACTTATATAAACTTTCCTGTATGTATACTAAACTTTAGTAAAAACATTTTTAACTTTTACTTCCTTGCCATTTGAATTTTCTAAAAACACAACAGCTGCCACTTACTGAGTGCTTACTACATACAAGGTATTGTGCTATTATTTTATGAGATTATCTCATGTAATCATCCTAACAACTCAGTAAAGCAGGTACTTTTCACATGTAACAAATAAGGAAACCGAGGCTGGAGAGGTTAAATAAGTTCCCCAAGTCACATAGGAAATTGCAGAGCCAGGACTTGAGGCAACTGTTAACTCCAAAGCCATGTTCTTCAGTACCACACTAGATGACCTCCAGGAGTCCAGTGTATTTCAGGTCTTGAGCAAAGAAGCTTGGCCCCAGTAATCAGCAGAAGAGTACTCCCTGGGTAGTTACTGAAGACATTCTAGAAGGAGGGATCTTACTGAAGAGAGCAGGGTGATTTAGAAAATGCAACTGGCCTGAAAGTAAAAGGACCCTAGGAAGTCCTTAGGGTCATCATTAAGGACTGGACCATGTGCAAGTCACTTTTTTTTTTTAAAAGATTTTACTTATTCATTTGAGACACAGACATACAGAGAGAGAGAGAGCGCGCATGAGCTGGGGGAAAGGCAGAGGGAGAGGGAAAAGCAGGTCCCCGTTGAGCCAGGAGCCCGATGTGGGGCTCGATCCCAGGAAGCTGGGATCATGACCTGAGCCGAAGGCAGACGCTTAACCATCTGAGCCACCGAGGCACCCCATGGGCAAGTCACTTAACCTCTCCAAATCTCAGCATTTCACCTGGAGACAGACTAAATGATTCTAAAGTATGCTTCAGTTATAATTCTAAGATACTCATTCTTGTTTTATGTTAAGATTCCTGCCCCAATTGCGTTGAAAGTAAGAACTGGGTCTCATTCATATCTGTATCCTCCACAGTGCTTAACAATTCTTTGCATACAGTGGCTCTCAATTAAAATTTGATGGCAGCGGCAGGTATTCTTTGATAGAATGGGAATTCAGACATCAAGTAACCAACATTAATCATCTTCTGTTTCATTAAGAGACCCTCACATTGTCCTCAGTTCAGATCAATCTGAACACTATAAAGCCATTTCCAATGCCATTCTTCTCCCAACCCAAAGTAAAATATTTGCAAATATTTCATGGTAACATTATAGAGTAAGTATTCTCCCATATTACTTTAAGTAAATTATAAAGTTATATATAACTTTGCTAAAAGATCTATGTAGATTAATGACTTTTTTCAATCCTTCCATAATTTGCCAAATTTTATAGAGTATTTATTTATTCTTTTTTAAAAAAATAAAAATTGAAGACTTTCATATTAAACTCTGGTTAACAATCAATCTTTCCTTTAGATTAATCCTTACTTTTCATCTGATTTACTTCAGAAGACTTCAGGTATCACTCAATTATTTGCATTAAAACAGACATCTTTGATTCCAACCCCCAAGCCCAATTAATTAATTCCCCTCACCTTGGTGGGATAGACAGAGCTGGAAGGAAAAGCCACCAGGGTGGTGAGATCAGAATAACGTCGCTCTATAGTCTTCTTGGTAGCAGGGCAGTAGTGGACACTGCGGACGACTTTGGGACGAACTAGAGAGCCTAGCAATGGAAAACATGCATATAAAGTCATGCAACTAGACAGTGACAGAGGTGGAATCTGACCCAGGCAAGTCTATCATGACTCTAAATACTGTGTTCTTCTGAGTAGTTTAAGCTGCTTCAATAACACTTGTCATTTATTCATTTTTGTATTTATATTTAGAACATCAACATGTCTATATAAAACTTCAAGTACAACCGATCCTGACCAAGAAATGATAGGAGTTCAGAGTTAGAATGAGGAGACTGCCAAAAGCAAGACTCCCCTACGCTCAGCGGAATTCAGCATTCTGGACCCCCTAATCTGTGCACACTACAGCTCCTTCCAGCTGCACCCTGTGAAGTTCAATGCTATATGCCACCCAACTCTACTTGGCCTCTCCTGCTTCCCCAGCCCCTCTTAACGGGTATCCCACCTCCATTCCCTTAGCCTCGACCTGAAGCCACTCACACTTAGTGACAATGCCCTCCACGCAGACCACACAGCTGAGGAAGCAGGAGGTAAGAGTCCGGGGAGAGACATGCTTGGAGCCAAAGCTGCCCTCCAATCCTATGTAGAACTCCTCGTACTGCTTGGCATAGGTAGCATCAATGGAGGCCACAAAATCCTTTAAAGCCCGCTGGAAGGCAACCAGCTCCTCAAAGGCATTGCTCAGGAGGCTGGACATGGACGACAGAGAGAATAATTAGGCAGAGAGAAAAACTCGAAGAAATCGACCCTTAAAAATAAAAGTAGTGTGAAAATCTAGTGCCCTTCTCCTGCTGTCCTAGAAGACTCAGTAAAATACATCATAACTGACAGCTAACTTGATTTCAACTTCTCAAAGATGCAGAAATAGTAACTCAGTTAAAACATGGAAGGAGAAGCTCTTAAGAGGAAAACGCCCAGGATATCTGGGTGGCTCAGTCGATTAAGCAGCTGCCTTCAGCCTGGGTCATGATCCCAGGGTCCTGGGATCCAGTCCTATATCGGGCTCCTTGCCCAGCGGGAAGCCTGCTTCTCCTTCTCCCTCTGTCTGCCGCTCCCCTGCTTGTGCACTCTCTTTCTCTCTGAGAAATAAATAAAATCTTAAAAAAAAAGGGGGGGGGGGACACCCACCACCTACTTTGGGAAGAAGAGAAAAACAGAAGCGGGTGAGGCAATGAGGGTCAAAAACATTTCATCCAAGTCCTCTCTTGGGAAGCCTGTCCAATCCGGGGAAGAGAAAGGGAAGCCATTGTCACCCAGAGCCAGGATATCCTCTTGGGAACCCTTACCACTTACCGGTTAGCCCTCTTCTCGTTTTTCCTGCGCAAGTCATTCACATTGACAATCAACCGGTATTGGTTGTCACTGATCAGCTCCCGAACTTTGCTCTGATAAATTCCCTGGTCTTCCTGCAAAATAACCACCACATATCAGAACAGCCACAAATTCAAAAATAGGACTGTATTTAAACAGAGGCAGTTCTCACAGCAAGATAAATCAATCTCTGCAGCAGAACTGACCTCAAATTTCTCCACATTTTCACTCACTAGCATGAGATTCCAAATACACCCTAAGAGGCTGTTGCAGGAGTTATAATGATCTCCTCAACGTCCATGCTATTATTTCTATTACTATCTGCAGCTTTTCTGTATGCAGTCATTTCTCAACTTCTAACGGGGAATTAAAACAAGCTCATAATAAGTCTAAAAGGACAAGTAAAAATCTTGTCAAAATGTAAATTAGCATATTAAAATGACTTTTCATTTAAGAATTACGTAGGGAATTAAAACACTGTATCTCCCGATCTGCTGTATAATAGGGAAAGAGTTCTCTCATATCCGACCTAAAGGAATAGGGAGCCTTACTATTTGTTTACAGACCCAGCATTATCAACCCTTTCAAGATGCTTTACCAATATTCTATGGCTTCCAGTCCTGGGTGGCATACAAAACCCCCTTTGCCAGCATAGCAAACACTTCTCTTCCGCATCTCCTTTGGCATTAAAAAGAATGCGGCCAAGTTAGGAAGTCTTTTCCGCCCGGTTGGAAAATCAGTCCTTAAAATCTGCAGGTCTGTAAGGTAGCGGGTCCCTACGTTCTCCAGCATTCTCCCCGCCCCCCCATCCCGACTCCTGCCAAATTCAGAGAGCGGGGAGTGATTTCCGAAAGGCCACAGGGAGCTTTGCCATTTCGTGTGCACGTGAAAGAAACCCGTCGCCTTTCGCGAGACCCCGCCACCATTTGCACTTAGGAGAGTTACAGGATCGCTCTCTCAAGGCTGCACGCACAGGAGCCCAAACCAACTACGGAATCCACCGCGAGAAACGTTACGAGATCCGGGACGGAAGGCTCCTGAGGGCGCCGGCCCGGCCGCAACAGTCCGGAAGCTCGGCGGACCTCCCGCGAGCTCCGGGCCCTGCCCCGGCTCTGCGTGGAGCAGCATCTGCCGCGGCCTCGCTTGGCCCGTCAGCGTCCCCAGGCGCTCCAAGCGCCAGAGTTTCGCGCCCCCGCTCCTCCCTCACCTCGTCATCCAAGAAATCCAGGTAATCTCTCTGCGCCTCTCGCAGCTCTATGTCGTCCAGTACCACTGTCCCCGCCATGCTCGCCGCCAGAGAACCGCTTCCTCCAGACCCGCGCGGAGAGTCCTCAGATGACCCCGCCCCGGCGCGAAAACTGCCGAACTTTTCCCGCCACCAAAGGCTACGTCGAGAAGGGGCAGGGTTTTCCGGGAGGATATACACATTCTGATTGGCTGATTCCTCTTACGCGAGAATAGCGAGTATCCAATCGAGAACTTCTTCCACTTCGGCTTTCCTGAACGGCGCCTCGCACTGGCGGGAAATATGACATCCTGAGCCCTCTGTTTCTCCCCTCACTGACAGACAAGCTGACCAACGGGGCCGAGAGGAGGCTCGCGGAGTCTGATCATTGGACAGCCGGGCAAGACGAGGACGCGCTGCATTCTGGGAGTCGTAGTCTTCCCCCTTTTACCGGATGTTTTGTAGGGTTTTGTTTTGTTTTCAAATTGCGGTGCCCTGACTTGTCGCTGAGTGAGAGGTTGTACTAAAAGTAGCCTAAATGTCAGAGACTGGGAGTTTATACGCAGGGAGATATAAAAACATAAAAGCAAATCGTTTCTTAAATGTATACAAATCAGGTGTGCTGAGTATGTTTCTCAAGCAACTGCCCTCAAGTGGCGTTCCGAGAAAAAAAAAAGTGGATTTTGACAATCTGTGGGATGGAAACAGAATAATAGCATCTTTGGGAAAGGTTCTTTAGTTCAGCGACCCATTTGTTCTCTCAATACCAGTGCCTGAAGTACCCCGTAAAAATAGGCGGCGGAAGAGGGCGAAATTAAAGAAACATTTTCTGTATTGTATCCCGCCCCATAGAGATGGCCTCATGTGTTATTCTACAAAATTCTGCACATAATTACTACACCATCTTACTTGCAAATGGGTAAGTTAAAGCCTTTTTCGCCTTATAAGGAGATCACAAGATCTTTTAAAATAACTTAGTTTACTGAAAGATAAACAGAAGAAACAAAAAAATGTTTCAAGCCACTCAAGTATCGTAATTAAGATATAGCAAATCTGAAGTTACAAACAGCTAAAAGACCAATTGCATGTTTGCAACCTTTGCAAAAAGGTGGGGTTTTTTGCTTGTCTCTAGTCCTTTGTGGTTTATATTTTTTAGTTTTATTCTTGAGGTATAACATATACAATAAAATGCGCAAATCTTAAGTGTACAGCTCAATGAATTTTTATTATTTGTATACCCATGTAACCACCCAGTGCAGTCAAGAACAGTCCCATTGCCCCAGCATGTGTTTTTTGTTTTACTGAACAGGACTAGACACCTGTTAATTCTGTATCTGAAAGTTCAGCCAATTAACATTAGCTTATGTTCAAAGGTCTCCAGGACTCACTGTGCCCTAATAAGTATTCTAAGTATAACCTGCCTAAACAAGATATATATGTCGTCTATTTGTGTGTGAATATGTATTTTTAGTTATTATACAGTTTATAGTTTCTATGTGTTTGCTGTCATCCTTGTGGGTAGATACATTGATCCTTAGTCAAGGAAAAAAGGTCATCTGACTGCTTCCATTTTCTTTATATTAACAGGCAAAATTTTTTTAAAAAAATGGAAATTCTAGATGAGGATCCTGTTTGCAATTATATAGTAAGAGATAATTACTTATTAGCTTAAGAGTGCCTTTATCCCTTGATCATAACTATCATTTTATGAATAAATTGAAGGCAGTATTGACATATTCTCAGCTCTGGAAACAAGTTGAAATTGATAATAAAAGAACCAGGAAGCTTAGTTCAAGCAAGCAAATTAAGCAAATAATTTCATTTGCAAAGGAAAAGTCCGAAGGAGCGGGAGTATGAAAACCAAATCCTTGACTCTAACGCACTTTTCTGTGGGCTTCAGTTTCCTCATATAAAAGATGAGGAAATTAGAAAATTCATAATTTATCCCATTCTAACATCCCATGAGCCCATGGCAAAGTTGGGAACTGTGTAAAGACAATTCCATTTAAAATTAATCATGCTGTGGTTCTTGATAAAGACTTAATTTGCCTTAATGTCATAATCTTCAGTCATGAAGGGCATGTGGATATTTAATCGGGTTTCTCCCTTTCATTAGGGCATGAGATCTTTGAGCAAATAAAGTGTTTCATTTGTTATTCCCTACTCCTCCAAACCACTCAGAAAGAAAAATCAATCAGGTTGTTACTAAAAAAAAAAAAAAAAAAAACGTTAGGGGTATTTGTATACATCTCATATAGAGTCTATATAGAGTCTACCTGAGCTTAACCAATGGCCTTCTTCTACTTCTTGCTCAGAATGAAGAAGCACATGTAACCTGATGAAGTAGTGGATTGTGGTTTCTATTGTTGCTCACATTCTTGCTTCCCCTCTGTATCCATTTTCTCTCCACCCTTTGCCTTGATGGACCTAAGCCAGTCTCCGAGGCTAAGGAAACACTGGGGGGCTCCTTGGAGAGCAGAAGCATGCAGGAAGATGGTGGAAAACAAGACTGCAAAGTTCATGTAGTACTTCCATTTAACATGTCCTTAGGTACCAAAGAGTATCCAAAGGCATCATAATAAAAATGATTTATTTTCACTAAATGATACATCTCTCTCTTCAAACCAGTGAACAATATTATGTGTTACAAAACTTGAAACAATACTCTGTGATTAAGAATGAGCTTTAGGGACTCAGGAAAATGCCATATGCCATTATACACCTTTGACACTCAATCAGAGGCCACAAAAGATTGGAGGTAAAAAACTCTACACCTCTAGGTGCCAGAGCAGCCTAAGGAATAACTTACAGGACCAGGCTTGCCCTGGCTAAGCCAATCTGTTCTCTTATGTTCTGTAGACTAGTCAGAATCTTCTCCAGATGCTATAACCTGGGGTTTTGAGCACCAAGAGCAGCAGGCTAACTTCTCTTTCTGGCTGCTCTAATTATTAGTTGAGCGACTGTGAGCAACTTAACTACCCTGCACCTCAGTTTCATCATCTTGAAAATTAGGAGTGGTATCTAAAGAATGGTTTGAGTATTCAGTGAGGTCATAACATAAAAAATATTGAGAAAAGTGCCTGGCATGTAGTAAGCACTAAATAAATGTTAACCACTGGTGGTTGTAGTGAGATGGTGGTGGAGGTATTAGTGGTTGGAGAAGAGTCAACAGATGTTGGGGAAAAGGGGGAGGAAGCACCCTGGTGCATTCTGGAACAATTCAATCATATTCAGGCCCCCTTCCCACTCCCACCAAAAGCTTAGAATAGAACCAATCCAGACATTTCTTTCAGAGAGATCTTGTTTGCTGCAAATCCAATTGGCTAAAGGAGTAATACATTCAGAGAGTATTATCTGGCTCCAGTTCTGCCTGTGTTTAAAACCATCAGAGACATTTGTTCCATGCTTATGGAACATTATGGAAGAAGACCAAATGGTCTCTGGAGTTAGCCAGCATGTCTTGTACTGACAGGAGAGTGTCATAGCATCTGCCCCCATCCTTTGCTTCCTGGAATCCTTCCAGTTAGATATGCTATAAAGATCAGGAAAATGCAGGAGCCAGAGGGCATCAGTGATCCTGATTTGCCCATTAGATGTGACAACATAGCTGGCCTGCAGACAATTTGTGATTCATTGTCATTTGCCAAAGTTAATTTCAGCAATTGGATTTCTTAGTCCCAGAAAGGTCATCTCCGTTCTTTTTTGGGTTTTGTTTTGTTTTGTTTTGTTTTGTTTCAGCTTTACTAAGGTATTATTGACAAATAAAAGGTCATTCCCGTTCTTAACTGCACAAGTTTCACTAAAGCTCTGTTTGAAGAGTTTTGCTTCAGTGCTTAAAGATTTGCAGGAGAAAATCACCAAAAACTTACTGAGTAAATAACTCATTTACACATGAAATTCTCTAATAATAACCACTCTGGAAATCTGTCTTGATTTGTGGGCACTTGAAAAAACACAGTCTCTTATGCTTTTAATTTTGCCATTGTAATGAAATGATGAAGAGATTTAGCCATATCAACCAACCAGTCATGTATTAGTGGAACATCTGTATACCTAATTCTGTCCTTACCGGGGACTTTAGCTTTGTGCTGCCCAATAGAAATACAATGCAAGACTCATATATAATATAGTTTTTTAGTACCAACATTTTAAAAAGTAAAAACAGTTTTTACTTTTGAGAGGTGAAAATTAATTTGGCGATACATTTTATTTAACCCAATTTATCTAAAATATCAGTTCAATGTGTAATTGATATAAAAGAAGTATTTATGTGATATTTTACTTTTTTTATACTGAGTCTTTAAAAATCCAGTGTGGGGGTGCCTGGGTGGCTCAGTTGGTTAAGCAACTGCCTTCGGCTCAGGTCATGATCCTGGAGTCCCGGGATCGAGTCCCGCATCGGGCTCCCTGCTCAGCAGGGAGTCTGCTTCTCCCTCTGAACCTCCCCCCTCTCATGCTCTCTCTGTCTCATTCTCTCTCTCAAAGAAATAAATGAAATCTTTAAAAAAAAATAAAAAATAAAAAATAAAATAAAAATCCAGTGTGATTTTTATACACCCACATCCCAATTCAGACTAGCCACATTTCAATTGCTCAATTACCACATATGGGTAGTATCTACCATTAGACAGCACAACTTTTGAATACAAAAATCTGTCTCTTGAAATAGGTTATGATTTAACTTGAAAAAATAGCAACCATTTATTGAACGTGTACTATATGCCAGACACTGTGCTAAGCACTTTACCATATAATCTCATTTAATCTTTAAAATACTTTGTGATGTGGTATTTTTGATCCTTATTTTACAGATGAGAAGACTACAGCTTTAAAGATCCCAAAATCCCATACCAATAAGGGACAGAGGCAGGATATGAACCCAGGTCTGTATGGCTATATATTATACACTCATTTAAGAACAGCTGGAGTATGTTAAGATCCAAATGCAGAATCTGACCCAACAGATTCAGTAGAATTTACTTAAATATTAAGCAAACAGATATTTTATATTTTAAAATACTTTACTTGAGGGATGCCTGGGTGGCTTAGTCAGTTAAGCGTCTGCCTTTGGCTCAGGTCATGATCCTAGGGTCCTGGGATCGAGTCCCACATAGGACTCTCTGTTCAGCGGGGAGCCTGCTTCTCCCTCTGCCTACCGCTCCCCCTGCTTGTGCTCTCTTTCTCTGATAAAAAATCCTTAAAAAAAAAAATACTTTACTTGAGTTAAAAAGACAGTGTATTGTAATTTTACCTTAGTGCATTACAGTTTTTCTTTTTTTTTTTTTTAATCAGTGACATTTATTAACATGCTTCAAGTGGCCAAAGCGTGCAGCCAGCACAATACCCAAAGCAATCAAAACATTCCTTTTTAAGACCAAGGAACTTTCTCTTGGTATGATCTACTTTAAAATACCAAAAAGATCAGTTTAGGAATAAACTCAGTAAGTTGTAATTTACTTTCATCCAAAATCACACATCCTCTACCTGAGGACAAAGTCACTGCTCTTGTAAAGATACTGGGGGTGGGGGTGGAGGGTTGCTCAAATGACCCTGTAATTTAAAGTTACAACCAGAGAAGAAATACTTCAAGCACAATGGAGACATTCCATTGAAGAGCGACATTCATTTTGGAATGTTTGCTTTGAAAACAACTCTTCTGGGGAATTCAAAAGGTACTGAACAAAGCAACACAGAGTAAATCTTGGGTTGTTTTGCAAAATAAAAATATACATTTGAGTAGACCAGATGGCAAAAACATACCCATTATAATCTGAACACTATATTTAAAACACTTAAATTCTGAAGGTCAGTATATTAACAGTTTTTAATCTATCTATATTTGTGATCCTAAAAAGACATTAAATACTCTTAAATCCCCAGTCCTCCAAAACACAGAGAGACCCAACAGGCGGGGCTAGTGGTCTATCGGTAGTCACACAGGACTAGACTAGATCTGAGTTTGCAACCTACACACAAGAGATCTTCAGGAACTCAGGCTAAAGGGAAGCACTTTATTCAAACGTGTGGCCTAAGAGAAGGGGGGAGAGTACCTTGTATTCTGAAACTATGTGGTCCATCTCTTGTTCCATCTCACAATCTAGACTATGATGCCTCCTCTTAAACTGCCATTTCATAACAAAACATACTGTTTAGAAGCCAAAAATTTGCTTCATTAGAGCTAAGAACAATTATAATTTAGCAGCAACAGAGAACACAACTCCTGATTTAACGATGGGAAAGAGGAGAGTGATAAAGTGTCTCAGTGGGGAAAGTGAAAGATTCCTAGTCTGCACGTAGAATATGATGAGCTTGATTCCTCAACCATCACTGTGTTTGGTAGTCAGGAAGAAAGTAAATGTAGCTTTGATGGGAACTGGAAACCCTGGCCTTGTGCACCTCCTGCCCGGCCTGCCAGCCGCCGAGCCTTGCACAACGCCGGCTCAGTGCTTCACTCCAGAGCGGAGGCGCCGTCAGGGCTGAACCAGAGGCACAGCCACAGTGTGTTTCTTCCTGGCTCAGAACACATTCATACGGAAACTCATGTCAGGGAAGAAACTAAGTGTTCTGGTTATGCCTACAGCCATTAGATGTACTAGCAATTTCTCCCTCGTTTTGTTCCAGATCTCTTGAGGCAGAAACTCGATCTCAGCAGCTAATTTCATCCTATTTTCTTTAGAAAAATTCTCCTAGTTGACTACACAAGGCAATGTGTGTGAACATTCACTCCTACCCTCCCCACATACATATACAGACATACGAGATACAAACACATACATACATACAAACATACATACATACATACATACAACACTCTAGGTTGTCAAGATGATGTAAGCTGCAGAAATGCCTAAAAGGTTACTTCCTGCTTAAAAATAAAATTTGACTACTTATTTTCCAAGTATGGACTAGGCCCTAGCAAACTTTTATAAATATAGTTTGAGAAGACAGCAACAAAAGTTTTAAATAGAGGCCGTCTTGAGGGCTTTCCTAATGGATTTTGTTAACACGTACATTATTTAAAACAGGCATATCATTATGGATTATAAAAATAGAAATGTATATATTTGTTAATACATATTCACAGCTTATGCTGGAATGGCTCACAGGAGAAATCATGGTTCATGCAGAAAATAAACATTACTCAAGTAAATATAAACAAATAAAATTAGGTCCATTAAGGCTGAGAACTTGGTTATCAGCCCATTTGGTTTCTCTTTGTAGGGCAATCAAAAACATAGGTGACACCTAAACACACATACACATACAATGACATGAAATACATGGAAAGAATATAAATTAACCAATAAAGCAATGTGGAGTTAAGGTGCAAAAATACAATCTTCACCCACTTCTCTCTACTCCTGTGTTTTCAAGCATTGCAACATGTTCGATGCCATGGGTGGCAAGGCCAACCAGAACAGATCTGAGTGTTTATAAATTCTCTAAGTGTTGAAAGTTAAAGCAAAATCCTTTGGGATTTTGGTAGAAATTGCAGATTTACAGAGATGACTACTGAGCAGTAGGTTGTAAATGGAGCCAAGAAGTACAATCTTGCCCTTTCATCCTCCATAGGAATCAGAATATTGACTTCAATCAGTGACTCGTCATTTTATATAATCTTCTCCAGGAATTGCTATTAGCATCTGTCTTCCCAGCTTTTGTGTGCCTCCTTGAGTTCTGCTGAGATTTGCTCTGCTCTTCTCCAGTGAGTAGGGCCTTGATTTCAGAAGGGATTTTTCTCTGGTCCATTGCCATGCACCACTGCTTGTATGTACATTTCCAGTTCCTCTCTGAGGGCACATACGGCTCTTTCCCGACTGGATACCATCTCTTCCAAATACTGATATCTTAGTTTTTTCCTAGCTCGGCATTCTCTTGCACTCTGCCGGCTCCTCTCAAGTTTTGCCTTCAAGTCAATTTTGGCTGGCTTCCGACCACGTTTGCCAGGTTTCTTTACTTTGCCTCCAACCACCTTACTGTCATCCATCTCGGCGGACAGGCCAGCCTGGCCAGGCACTCCCTCCCCCTGCCCTCCCCTGGCTCAGCCGGCCTGGCCCGGCCCGGCCCCTGCCCCGGGGGAAGAAGGCGATATGGTTCTGACTGTCTCCTCCTCTCGCCTAACAGTTCGCTTCCCTGATGCCACAGTCACGGGGACGAGGGACCAGTTCAGGAATGACAGAGCGGACCCTGGAGGCGGCCCAAAACGCCTCCTTTCGCCGCCGCCGCCTCCTCCTCCCCCTCCATGACAGTCTCGGGGTGTGTTTACAGACGCCCTGGAGAGCGGCCCGGACGGGAGGGTGGGCCATTACAGTTTTTCTTATTCATTTTACTGTTTAAAGTATAAAGAGACTTTTTCTCTGGACATGATGAATACCTTCTGCTAGTTTACAGATGGGCTAGTGTCTGTATGTGTCCTGTAATGTTTGTTTATTCATTCATTTAATCAATTATGTGTGAGTTATGTATGGTACAGTAAATTAGATATTATTTGTCATCAGTTTTTATTCTATCTTATCCTTCAAGTAAACTGTATATCATAATTTTGAAGTTTCAGAATCATTTAAGTGCCTGTTTTTATTCAGCCAACAGAGCTTTGAGATGTGAGTATTTATTCATACTACAAATAATACTACCAGTATTTTATTATATTATATGCAAGGTATTTAGGAGAATACCAAGATGGATAAGATGAAAAGTTTACAATCTGGTATGGAACTTAAGGCACAAACATAAATTGCCATGAGAAAAGGCAACATGTGTTCTGGCATGGTACAAAGTGCCATAGGAGTTTAAAAATGGCAGATATAAATTTGCATAGGAGTGATGATAGAAAGCTAGAGAAAGGGGATAGTATTTGATTTGAGGATCAACAGGTGGGCAGTATTTCCTGCAGGAAGATGTGACAGTAATGACATTCTAAGCAAAATATGAAGGCAGGTGAATACACGGTAGGACTAGAAGCAGGGATGCATTAGGCCTGACTGTAGAGGACACTGACCAGCAGAGTAAGGCTGTGCTTGATTTAGTAGGCAGAAGGGAGCCATTGATAGCGTTTGAGCAAAGGAGAGACAGTATGAAGTGCTTTAGGAAGATTAATCTGGCTAGAGAATATGTAGAATGGATTGTTTTCATCAGATAAAAGAAATGAGGCCTGGAAAGGGTGTTCAAAGAAGGAAGAAAAGAAAAAGATGAGAGTGAAACATTTCAGAGGAAAAATAGACAGATCTAAAAGCTATTTAGATGAAAATAGGAATGAAGGAGAGAGACATAAAAATTACGAATAAACACATATGCCTCACACACAATGCCTCAAGGGCTTACAAAAAGCATCTCATTCCTAATGATCTTCATTTAGATCTCTGTTTAGAATGAAAAATTGTTTTGCAGTTACGACACAGAGGAAAAGAAATTTAAGGGGCAACCACATCTTTCAAAACACCAGTAGTCAGGAGAGCTATACAACTTTGACATTTAGTTCCAAAACTTTGTCTAGGACAGCATGGAAAAGGAAGGAAAATTATACTTTGTTGAATTTTAAACAAAGTATATATAAACTACACCTCAATAAAGCAAAGTGTACATAGATTATGCCTCAGTCAACTTTATTCTAAAAATCTAAGCAAAAGAAATAAATCATAAAAGTGGCATGACTGTATCTGGGCAGGTGGGAGAGGATGCTGGGGAAAGCCAGTGCCCTTTGAAGTAAGCTGAATATCAATTTTAATTGGCGCCATGCCATTTGCCGAAGAACCTACAGGCCCTGTCCACAGCGTTCACAGTCAGTCTGATAGACCAGAAGCCAGGGTTTGGGAAGACTGAGTCTCATTGCGTCCTCTATTCACTGAACATTTGACATCATAGGAACAGAATTTGAAAGATGCTTGTGAGGCACTTTGGGATACAAGCTGCAGAGATGGTTGTATTGATCACTCACTTTCCTTTTATAGAAATATATTAAAATCATGTCCTACATTCTTCACCCCACAGTTCACTTCCAGCACCTTCTTATATTCTTCTAGCTCAATTGTGGTAATCTTTAGGTAAAAAGAAATACAGGCCTTCATTATCCTTCTTTCAGCCCTCCAATATTCCAGAGAGTGTAGAGAAACTATTATCACTCTAATTTTATATTTTAAGTGCTACAACAGTCAATCCAAAAATCTCTGAAAAGCTGAGAGGTTTAGTGTTTACCTTTTTTCCCCAGCCTTTCAGCTGGATTCTTTGAAGAGCCTCCAAAAAATATCTCTGATCTGAAACCAAACCCAGATGGATATTTTTCCTGGCCTGTTTTCATCTGGTTAGCCACCTGTTTCTCTCTGTGGTAATACAGGAAGGGGAGATGAGAAAATGGAAGATGTTGGCTCAGAGCCCTAGAGGTCTGGTGAAGGTGGCTTTTAAAATAATCATTCTTTAGTCACTGCCAGGCTCCAATGCCACCTTCACTGATTGGAAATGCAAAGTATGGCAGCAGTGTTTATAAAAAAATAAATGGGGTGCCTGGGTGGCTCAGTCGTTAAGCGTCTGCCTTTGGCTCAGGTCATGATCCAGGGGTCCTGTGATTGAGCCCCACATCAGGCTCCCTGCTCCACGGAAGCCTGCTTCTCCCTCTCCCACTCCCCCTGCTTGTGTTCCCTCTCTCTCTGTTGAAAAATAAATAAAATCTTTTAAAAAATAAAAAAAATAAAAAAATAAATGAATATCAGAGTGCATACTAGAATTTCAGAGGTGGAAGTCACTGCAGAAGCCATTTAATTTAATGCCACAATTCATAATCTAGACAACTGAAGTCCAGAGAAATTCAATTAGATTCTAAAATCAATATATTTACAATAAATAGGTAAAGAAACATTTGGTACACAACAAGACCCCAAAAGAAAGATAGGTTTGAGCAAATCAAACTCTTAGAATTGCAAAATATAGTTATTGAAGGAATAAATTAATGGACTGGTTAAAAGCAGAATAGACACATTTGAAAAGAGAATTAGGAAACTAGAAGGTGAAGCTGAGAAAATTGCCATAATGCAGCAGAGTAGAGGAAATGAAAAATACAAAGAGGAGTTAAGGGAAATGAATGATAGAATGAAAAGTTTCAATATATTAATGGGAATTCTAGATGGAGAAAAATTAAGGAAATAAATAATAAGTAAACATTTTCCAGAACTGGTCAAAGACAAGAATCCTAAGATTAAAGAATCAAAATGAACCCGAAGCAAGGAATATGAAATCACACCTTCACTTAGACACATTGTAACAAAACCCAGAAAATTGGGGGAAATATTAAAAGCAACCCAAAAAAAGAAAAACATTTTAGACTGGCCACAAATTTCTCAATTATAACAACAAAGGCTAAAAAACAATGGAATAATATTTTCAATTCCCAAGGACCATAACTGACAGCCTAGAATCCTATACCCTGCTAAACAATTATTAAAGAGTTAGGACAAAATAAAGACTTTCAGAATAACACTTGAGACCTTTGTTGAACAGACTCTATATTTGTGTTTTAGGGCTGCCATAACAAAATACCACAGACTAGATGGCTGAAACAGTAGAAACTTATTTCTCCCAGTTCTGGAGGCTGAAGTCCCAGATTGAGGTCTAGCAGGGTTCGGTTTCTGGTGAGAGCTCTCTTTCTAGCTTTCAGATGTCCACCTTCTTGCTGAGTCCTCACATGACCTTTCCCATGAGCCTATTCAGAGAGAGAGAGCAAGAGATTGAGAGAGAGAGGGAAAGAAGGGTCTCTCTTCCTCTTCTGTTCTAAACAAAAGATTCACAACAGCCATATTTTGGTTTGAAAAAGGAAAGAAAACTTTATTATTATAGAAACCTAGTAGAAACAGAAGAAGAAAGGAATCTACGCATAGATAAAGGTAATATCCAGCAAGAAATGAGAATAAGGCAAAATTACATCAAATCGGGTACCTACAACATCCAACCTCATTAGCTGGGGCAGCCCCATGGAAACAGCCAGGCTGGAGTCCTGATTGAGAGGCCTGGGCAGAGCATCCTCCCCTCAGGTGAGACTTCCAACTGATCATCCCCATAAGGCCATATTTATATGGCAAATAACAGGGTTTGAAATTAAACCATTTGTTCCTACGTGCAGTTTGGAGCAAGCTGTATTTTCTATGTTATCATGTTTCTATATTTTCAAGGAACCTGGGCTATGTGTATCTGCCTCCCCTCCTGGATTCCATTCCAGGGGCCCAACCCAGCCTGGAGCAGGAGGGGATGGGAGACAAGATTTGTAGCTCTCGGCATCCAGAACAGAAGGGCCAGTTCTGACCTGGAGGCCAGATCATATATTTCAAACAACTAAGCTCCCAAGGTTATTCACACAGCACAAGTCTCACAAACCACATTCCTTAGCCTGCCTGTGTATATGCAGGTCCAGGTGGTCAGTTATGCGGGACAAATCACAAAAACATCTATCCCTACAGAACATCTTCTAATAAGGCCATCAGTCCTATTGGATTAGGGCCCCACCATTATAACTTCATTTAACCTTAATTATCTCCTAAAGACCTTATCCCCACATACAATCACACTGGGGGTTGGGCTTCAGCATATCAATTGTGGGGAGGACACAATTCAGTCCATAGCGGACTCCTATAGGATAATTTCAGAAGGAAGGAAATTAAATACAAAAGTAAGGAAAAAAACAAAGGTGAGTAAAGAAATTGGTAAACACAAAGGTAAATCTAAAGAAATACTGACTCTAGGGGCGCCTGGGTGGCTCAGTTGGTTAAGCGACTGCCTTCGGCTCAGGCCATGATCCTGGAGTCCCTGGATCTAGTCCCACATCGGGCTCCCTGCTCTGCAGGGAGTCTGCTTCGCCCTCTGACCCTATCCCCCCTCATGTGTTCTCTCTTTCTCATTCTCTCTCTCTCAAATAAATAAAATCTTTAAAAAAAAAAAAAAAAGAAATACTGACTCTAAAAATCATTACTACTAATAACAATTAATTTGGAGAGGATTAAAAGTAGATATAAATAACTAGCATTGTCCAATACTACTTTCTATAATGATGGGAATGTTCTATATCTGCTCTGTCCAATATGGTAGCCATTAACCACATGTGGCTATGAAGCACTTAAAATGTGGCTATGCAACCAAGAAAAAATTTAATTATATTTAATATTAATTTCAACTTAAGTACCTACATGTGGGTAATGGCTACCATGTTAGACAGCACAGCATTACATAATAGTAACATGGTAAGTGGCTAGAGCAGATCAAAGTTAAATAGTCTAAGGTCTTTGTTTGGAAAGAGAAGGGACATTTTGGAGGCAGTTATATTAAAGATTTAAGGATAGAAGCTAGAAAAATTGAAATAGAATGTATCATTTCCAAAGTAGTAGAAGGAAAGAAGAATAAAGAAAACACTGTTGATACACAGAAGATAGGAAAAAGAGATGGAAAAAAGAAATCAAAGAAAAGCATGATAAATAGAAAGCATAACAAATACGATAGAAATAAATAAGAAATATACCAGTTTCTTCTTACAATGAGAGTACAGAATTTTAATGGAACCTCATATACCAAGGGCATATGGAGTAAAAAAAAAAATCAGGTAGCAAAAGATATGTACAGTATTAAACCTTTTATGTAAAGTTTCAAAACATATAAACTATTAGTATTTATTTTTATTAACACAAAAATATGTCAAGTATAACAATATGCATGGGAATGAATGACACAACCCAACTTCAGGAGAGTGATTTCTTCAGGAGGAGGGGCAAAGGAAAGGGAGTGGATCTTTAGTTGAATCTAAATATTTTTAAGAAAAGATCTGAAGCAAATATGATAGTGTCAACCTATAAAATGTGGGTGGTGAGTACCTGGGTTTCAGACTATATTGTTTGAAACTGATAATAGTTTTAAACTCTTATTTTTTCATAAATAAAAACTCAAGTTCAAAAGAAACACATCCATCCAGATACTTTCCTCTTTTCTCTGTATTGGATTGTTTCTCTCTGACTGGTTTAGATCTTAGGACTCGAACTTGATTTTTGTCACTTAGGAAACTTTATCCACAAAATAATAATCTAACATAATGAGCCCTCCTCACACCAGAGGACTAAGGAGCTAGATAACCCAATTCCACTGGAAAGTTCTGTTTACTTAGGACAGGGGTCAGCAACTTATTAACATTGTTTCTCTTAGTGGGATGAGTGAGTACTCTTGGGAGCTATTGGGTGCTGTGGGGAAGGAAGAAAGAAGAGAGAGAAGAAAAGGAAAAGAATGGGGGAGGGAGTGGGGAAGGAGAAAGAGTTATGGTAGAGGGCTACTGATCCACTTTGCTCACATGGGAGCCACCCCCCATATATCCCTATAGAAGAAAGCAGGATGGGGGCACCTGGGTGGCTCAGTCAGGTTAAGTGTCTGACTTTGGTTCAGGTCATGATCTCAGGGTCCTACAGTCAAGTCCCAGGTTGAGCTCCCTGCTCAGGGGGGAGTCTGCTTCTCCCTCTCTCCACTCATGCTCTCTCTCTGTCTCTCTCAAATAAATAAATAAAATCTTAAAAAGAAAAAGAAAAAGAAAGAAAGCAGGATGGAATGATCTCACCTCATTGCTTTGGCATTTTTCTATTAGCGCTCCTTTCGTTGTATTGCAGTTACTGTTTACATAGCTATCTCCCCCACTGGACCATGTCTTATTCCACTTCTTACCTTGAGTGCTTAGCACATGTCTGACAGAGTGGTCTTAATGAATGACTTAACGGTGAATACACAACTTCAGATCTTAAGTGATTTCCTGTCTTCTTGTTTAAGCCTTCCAAGCCTTTCTCTTTTGCCTTACCGCCTTCCTGGGTCCTCTTTCAGACTCTCAGAATTTAAAACCTTTAAACCTCTGTCCAGCTCTAAGCTGGGACACTCAAAACAACTTCTAGGTGGCCCACAGAGTGCTTTCTCAGGAAGACAAGGGAGATAGACTGGGAGCAATGTCTGGAAATGGAGATGTTCTGGGGGTGTCCCAGGAGTGCCACAGAGTCCTGAACCTGACTTTTTTCCTTTGTGGGAACCGTGACAGGGAGCCACAGTCAAGAGGATAAAGGAGAGGGATGTGGCAGTTCCTGACACCTAGTGTTCATGTCCTTCCTCCCCTGTGTCCCAGGCGGAAGTGTGGGTCCCCCAACCACCTTCTCACTCCCAACCCTGGCTTCCCAAAGGCAGCCCTGGTCTTCATGATAACAGTCTCTTTTCAAGACAAATCAGCTGTTCCTTACAGCTGTGGGTGGTACTATCTTAACAGAGACAGCAGTCTGGCCGGCAAGATATTTCTGTCATCTGTGCTGTGGGAATAGGTCTGTTCTGCTTGGTTGCCATCAAAGGGCTTTTCCTACAAAGATGTTTGTGCAAACAGTCTATTGGAGGGTAACTGGCCCTGCCTCAGGCCTGCTTGCTTATTGGCCAGCCAGGGTCTTTCAGCAGCGAGCCATTCAGAAGCCAGGGTGAAGCAGAGGCCAATAAGAAGGCTGAATGTAGCTCAGATAATTGCACACTGCAGTGAGACAGACAGTGGGCAGTGCAACCCTGGCTTATTTAGAGGAAGCCTACTGTTTGCTTCAAGAGGGCCCAAGACAGTAGCTACATACTTACCTTTCCCCTTCAACAGATTGGGGTGCCTGTGGCTGGCCAAGGAAACTCCTCACCTCACATCCAGTCTTGCTGGGTCCTGGGCAGGTCTGGCGTCTCTGGTTCATCTGGGTGAGTGAACTCTCTCTGTAGGTTCTTTCCCTCTCTGCCATAGGCTCTAACCTGAGCAAAGTAGGGCAGAGTACAAGGTCCTACAACATTAGCAAGCTCTCCTGTCTTAAAACCTCCCCAGTACATCTGTTGTACTGGGCACATCCCTGATAATCTCCCTGGAGATTATCAGCTAAAGGAACACAAAAAGCAGCAGCCGTAGCAAATTCTACAGCAGTGGAGGCTTCTCTGGGAGTTCTTTCCTCGATAACATTGTCCCTTACCTATTGCCATTCCAGCATATCTGCAAGAGAGGTAGAAACAGAGTACAGGGCCTTTCATGTTAGCTGGCCTCGGTGTGGTCCACCCTGACTATCCCATCATCCACTGGGGGTTGTAAAGAAAGGAAAGGGATTCATTCCAGCCTACTTCCCCCATGACATGAGACTGGGTGGAGAAGGAAGTCATAAATGATAAAAGTTGGGATTCCCTCAAAGGAGCACCTAAAAATTTAAGAAAGCATGGTGTCACTAGAGGTGATGGAGTCAGCATGTTAAGGCTGTAAGGGATGGCTGGAGACTATCTTCAACCCTAGCATTTTACAGATGAGGACACCTAGCTGGAGGAAAGTAATTTGCAGAAGGTACCACTGCCAGTCAATGTTAAGGCTGACAGTAGAACTCAAGCCCAGTGATCCCTCCACCGGCTTTTAACTGGCTCTTGCCTTAAATGTAGTTGATAATTGGTCATCATGGTCATCTTTTACAGTCTTAAAGCTGGGGCCTGGACAGAATGGGATGAAGAGAGCAGCTGTAATTTCTTTCTCCAGCAGAATTCCAGAGGAGGCCAGAGTCTCCAGACAGAAACCAGCCTCCCAGAAAGACTCCCGTCAGCAGCCCCAAATATTCCAGGGGTGTCCACAGTATACCCTGGAGCAGAGATGGGCCAAACACAGAAGCTCCAGCACAGCCAGGACCCTCGGGCGCCATCAGACTGCTGTTGCCACCGTTGTAGCCGAAATGACAGGGCACAGGTGCCTGGTCAGAGAACTGGCCTAGGAGCCAGCTGCTCAGCTAGAACAGCACAATACCCACAGGGCAGCCCTGGTCCAGCTGGCCAGAGGAGTCACACTAGCACACCTAGTCCATAAGAGAGTAGCCCTCCTAAGGTCCTCTCTAGGCCACTTGCGCCAGGAAGGAGACCACAGACCACAGCTTCTGCCATACCCAGGTACTCAGGACTTTGGGAAGATTTCTCCAATGGGACTTGGATTCTTGCTTCTTTTTCCTCCTTTTTCTTTTAGAAGAAATTTAAAAATTAAGTGGAGGAAAGGAGTAGATAAAAAGATGAATAAGAAGCAAAGAAACTTGGGATTTTAATAAAAAGATCTTTATTTGAAAGCAGGTAGTGTTTTAGGTTTTCTCCTTATGTTTCATTCTGTCTCAGCCCCATAGCAAAGGGTGGACAAGCCTCTGGATCAGGGCTTCTAATAATTATAATCAGGCCTCAGCCGGGAGAGGCCATGGTGGTGAGGCTTAGGTCTGTTTTCTTGTTAACCCCACGTCCCTTTTGTTATCATTCATACATTCAAGAGACGTTCGAAGGTCTACTTTATGCCTAGGCATTATCTTACGTACAGGGTATGGTATTCATTAGTGATAAAAATGTACATCATCTTGGGAAAACAGTATGGCAGTTTTAAAAAATTAAGACTGGAACTACCATATGATGTAGCAATCCTACTTCTAGATATAGATCCAAAAGAATTGAAAGCAGGATGTCAAAGAGATATTTGCATACCCATGTTCATTGCAGCATTATTCACAGTAGCCAAGAGGTTGGAACAAAATAAATGTCCATCAGTGGATGAATAGATAAACAATATGTGGTTTATAAATGCAGTGGAATACAATGTAGCCTTAAAAAGGAGGACATCCTGTCACATGCTATAGCATGGATGAACCTGGAGGACATTGTGCTAAGTGAAATAAGCCGATTACCAAAGGACAAATGTTATATGATTTCGCTTATATGAGGTATCTGAAACAGATTTACACATACAGAAAGCAGAATGGTGGTGACCAGGGGCTGAGGTGAGGGGAAGGGGAGTTCTTGTTTGCTGGGTATAGCATTTCAGTTCTGCCAGATGAAAAGGTTCTGGAGGTCTATTTCACAACAATGTAGATATACTTAACACTACTGAACTGTACACTTATAATAGTGAAGATGGGAGGTTTTAGGATTTTTTTTACCACAATAAAAAAGAATACACATCATCCTTGCGTTCATGGACCTTATTATTTAAAGGGGAAGATAGTCATTAGATAAAACTACAAATGAATAATTACCACTAGAAAGAAAACGAACAGGAAGAGTAATCAGGTGAGGCTAGAGATCACCTCGATGTGATCCAGTAAGGCCTCTGTGATTCTGGCGCAAATTAGGGATCAGTAGGCTCTTCAGAGAAAGCCATGCTCCTCATTCCCTTGTCCAAATGTAGAATAGTCCTGGAAATGAGTCTCTGCCAACCCAACTGCAGCCCCCTGCCTTGGGCATGGCAGGTGACCTATGGTGGTGGTAGCAAGAGTCTCCCACCAGCAAACACAGGCCCACTCCTCTTCCTCCCTAAAGCACAGAGTGGGCTGAGGGGGACAGTTGCCTGAGCCTATCCTGAAACATTCTTTTTGTGTGTGGTATTGTGGTAAGCCTTTTGTATTTGACTTTTTTTTTAGTCTTCGTAAGCAGGAATACTGCCTATTTTAGGCCTAAGTGTCTCAAAGCATCTTTAGTATCTCATTTACAGTTACTATGCAGAGAGTAGGAGCTCCACACACACACTTACCTCATAAATGCTCCTCTCCAGCCATCTCCAACTAATCCTTGGAGGTGGGTGTTTTAGTGGATATTCTCAAACTCCCTGAAAAGACTTGTCCTTTTTCCTGGAGGTAAGAGGGTTACCTTTGATGCTTTTTTACCAAATGATAGTAAAACCATTGGTGAAACGTCTCTCCTTCTGTATCTTTGATGATCTCAACCTCTGCTCAATTGCTCAATTCCCTCCTCTGCCCAGGGCCATGCTGTCACCATGACCCAGGCCTCTGGGTAGGTACCTGCCTTCCTTGGTGCCAGAAAGTTAAGAATGGCAGGGGACAGGAGAAGCAGGCCCCCTTCCCTCGTCCTTTCCTGCCACCTAGCTGGTAAGTCTCCACCCAGGAACTGGAACCAACTCTGATCGTCATAAACTTTTTTTTTTTTAAGCTTTTTTTAAGATTTTATTTATTTATTTGCGAGAGAGACAATGAGAGACAGAGAAGATTGAGAGGGAGGAGGGTCAGAGGGAGAAGCAGACTCCCCGCCGAGCAGGGAGCCCGATGCGGGACTCGATGCGGGACTCGATCCCGGGACTCCAGGATCATGACCTGAGCCGAAGGCAGTCGCTTAACCAACTGAGCCACCCAGGTGCCCCCTGATCGTCATAAACTTTTTGAGGCCTCAGAGAATGCTGCTGGGTCTACAATGAGCAAGAACAATGGCATTTTCACCCCAGAAGTGATGCAGTGCTAGAGCTACAAGCAAACTTGCTAATTTTAGTGCAGCTCTCTCATGTTACAGAGAAAGAAGTTAAGACCTGGGGGCGCCTGGGTGGCTCAGTTGGTTAAGCGACTGCCTTCGGCTCAGGTCATGATCCTGGAGTCCCTAGATCGAGTCCCGCATCGGGCTCCTTGCTCAGCGAGGAGTCTGCTTCTCCCTCTGACCCTCCCTGCCTCATGCTCTCTCTCTCTCATTCTCTCTCTCTCAAATAAATAAATAAAATCTTTAAAAAAAAAAGAAGTTAAGACCTGAAGAGGTTCCAAGACCATGGGGTCCCAGGAGATGGACTTCCCAGTCCAGAACTTTTCCAAGTTTAGGCTTCACCCAAAACTTACCTTGATCTCAACAGACCCCCAGCTGTAATCTCTTGGTAGAGTGCAGGGGCAAGCTAAAGATGGGCCTGAGGTGTGGTTTACTCTTCTCGTCCAATGTTTGAATGCCACCCCCTCTCCACTGGTCACTGGTGCCAGTTGCTTAGGATTCTTGGGGCCCTAAGACCAGCCTTCCTCTCATCTCAAGCCTGAAAACAGCTCAGGAACAAGTCATTCCTCTTCTCACCCCCCAAATTAGCAAATAACTAAACTTCTGCCCTATCTCCTCATGTCCCTCAACCAAAACAAAGGCTTCCTTTTACAAATTACCTATCACCTCCCCACAAGGTGACCCGTAAATCTTAAAAGAGACTTTTTTAAAAGACTATTCAAAACTTTGTTTTAAATTACACTTTTTAACTAGTAGAGCTTTCTCATATACTCATGATATACTCATGGTCCACCCTAAAATCCCCCCCCCACCACCACCCCACCCTCCACACAGACAACTGTGAGGTTTTTCACTTCCAGGAAATTATGTGAGGGAAGGAGAGAAAAATGGAGAAGGGGGGGAGGGGCGCTACAGGGTAAACACAAGCAAAATCACAGCTGGGTTTGGGATTGTCTGGCTACATTTCTAAAGCTGGAGGAGCCGAGGCTCCTCCTCCAGCTCTACAGAATTCCAGTCCGCAGTTTGCCTCTCTCTCTTGCCAGCTCCAGCCTCTGTGGGTGGGTGAGCCTCAGCAGGGAGAAGAGGACTCTGGGAGGGGAGGGAAGATACTTGCCTGTAGAAAACTGCTGAAGGGTCAGGGCAGCTGCAGAAACTACATCTCTGGAGTCCCCCGATTTAACCCAACCCAGAGAATGGACAGCTCCATCATCCAGTAAGCTACAATGGCCAATCACAAGTAGAAGAAGGTGGATGCTAAACAAAGCAGAACTTTCTGGATAATCTGATAAAGTGCCCTCCACCCACCCCTACACACACACACACACACACACACACACAGCAGTACAGTTC